ATAATTAAAATCAGATTTGTGCTACATTGTTATTTTGTGCTGTAGTTTAGAATGAAATCTCCCTTGCTTAAGCTCAGGAGAGGATATGGTACACACTGCATAAAGATGGATGGATGTTTAACACAGACAATATACATCTCAGGAAAAGCCTTTTATTCATAGCCTCAAATTTTATCCCATTCTTACTCTTGAATTTGTTTTGTACATTCTTTACTTGAGCTGTGAATTTTCAAAACTAATTTAGAGCAAAATAAATATCCTCCATTTAAACTTTACCCACGGCATAATAGTATTGATATTTAAAGTTTTTATTTTAGGATCTTTGTAGATTTGAAAATTAGATTTATAATGTGATTATTTGATTACACAGGCTTAGAGATTTTCTTTGTCATCCAGTAACAATTCTCACCCGTCAGCTTACAGAATGCACATTTTGCTTTGGGGGCGCAATGGTCCCTCATTTTAAGACTATGTGATTTGGGCGAAGCTGATTGAAAAAGTCTGAGCCAGCCAGTATGATTTAACTCCTTGAGCACGTTGGTCTGGGGATGGGACCACATTGCAGAATGTGCTGTCTTCCCAATTATCCACTCTACCCTTCACATCTGTACTCATGGGTGGAGTGACTAGAATGGGAGTCAAAGCTTTAGGAACTGTTGAGTGCTCAGCCAGGGCCCTGTTTTCTCTCTGGCACTAGAACTGCAAATTCTTTTTAAGGGTCTCCTTGACTCCAGATTTTAGCTAAAAGTGGCTACATGATGCAGTTATAGCCAACTTACCATCATATTTCTGCATTGGAGCCAGCCCACCATGAACTGAATCCCCTAAAGCCATGAGCCAAATTAAACCTCTCCTCTCTCTCTCTTTTTTTTTGGTTGTTGTACCGGGGATTGAATTCAGGACCTTGGACTTGCCAGGCAGGCGCAGTACCACTGAGCTACATCCCCGGCCCTAGGCCTCTCCTCTTCTAAGTTGCAGGTGTTGAGTATTGTGTCCCACCAAGGGAAAGCTGACTAATACTCCAATTAAAGGAGAGAAAGGAGAGGAGAGGCCTCATTTGTTTACGTCAGTCTGTTTCATCCACCATTTTTCCTGTGCATCTACACAATACACAATTAATATATATTGTTAGAGTGAATGCAAAGAATTGTTGGCTCAGGCTGGTGGGCAGTGCTGACATTCAAACCCAGATCTCTTTGATTTATAGCATATATGAGAAAAACAAAAAACAAAAAACAAACCTGAGAAATCTTTGCTGTGTCAAGGCACTGAAATTTGAGGCTTGGTTGTTACTGTAGCATAACTCAGCCCAAGCTGACTAATGAACGAATTTGAGCCAACAAAGGAGAACAAATTCCTGGACAGGTAGAGTTGCAGTGGACAAATTGCTCCTTTACTCTGGACTGGGTGATGAGATGTTGGAAAACTGAAAACATGGCCAGGCCAGGAAGGCTGAGCCAGGGGAAAGGCATGACTCAAGCTTTATTTGAAACCAGTTCTATTTTCTAGCAATGAGGGCCAATAAATCCCTTTTGCCTTTTCATCCAGTTTGAGCTGGGTTTTCTTTCCCTTGCAACTGAAAGGTCACTTACTCAGAGAGGTAAGCTACAGAAATCCTTGCTTCCCTGATTTTACAAGTTATGGGGAAGGAAAATTTTTCCATTAGTTAGAACATTAACTCAATTAGCTAATGGCCAAAACATTTTCAGATTACAAATGAAAGACTCAATAATTGCTATAGTCAAGTTAGATAGATTTTATAACTCGTAGGATCAGGAACACATTCTTGGAAAACAATAAACTTCAATGGGCTGAAAAACCCTTCTTTTTTTTCCCTTCCAATGAAAACTGGGAAATGCTGAAATCATCCTGACTTCTGTTTTGTAAATGACAAGTGGGGCTCAGACTGATTGGCAGATTGATTTTGGACTCTTGTAGGAAGAGAAATTAAAAAAAAACAACTACCACCATATTTTAGCCAGAAATCAGGAGTTTGGTTAATCAGTAGAGTAATCTGGTTAATCACAGACAACTGTCTAGTTGTGAAGGTGTAGAGTACTAAGTACAGTGGACCTTTGACTTACGAACTCAATTCATTAGCGAGGGCTGGTTGTAACCCAAGTTGGTCAGTGAATGCTCAGGCTCCTCTACACAGCCTTCAAATCCTCTCTCCTGTACACAGGCAGCTCTCAGCGTCCTTAGAGAGACATCAGCCCAGGATTTCTCAGTTAACCCCACACAGAAAAGGATGCTGTCATGCTCCTTCCGGAACTCTCTAAGGGGTTAAATCTGTGTCTGACACCATCTGGAAGCAGAAGCGGCCCGCATTTGGGTCATAACTCAAGACTTTGTTTGTAGGTTAAAATTAAAATTCCAGTTGTAACCCAAGTTGTTCATATGTCAGGCCAGTTGTAACTCGAGGATTCACTGTATATGTTGTTTTGACCAAGGCCTACTCTTCCCGTATTTAGGGAAGGAGATTAACCAACTCTGCTTTACAGATTCCTTCCCTTTACATGGACACTGAGTTGACTGGGAAACATAAAATTTGACTACAAAATATGATTTTGATGACCAGGAAGCACCCCCGCAGGATGCTGCCTCCTACTTGCTAGCATCTACTGTAAGGGGCAGCCAACTTTTCCTGCAAGAGGTCCTGCCAGTCATATAGTCTCAGTGACAATTACTGACCTCTGCTGTCCTAATGACAAAGCAGTGAGAGCTGACAGGTAATGGAATGGGTGTGGCTGTGTTCTAATAAAACTTTGTTTGGAGACATGGAAATGTGAACTTTATAGAATTTTCACATCATAAATGGCTATTCTTTCCATTTTTTCCAACCATTCAAAAATATAAAAACCATTCTTAACTCCATAAGCCATACCAACATAGGAAGTGGTGGGGGCGGGATTTAGCTCAGTGGTTCTGCCGCCTGCCTTGCAAGCACAAGGCCCCGAGTTCGATCCCCGGTACCAAAAAAAAATGGAAGGCAAACATAGGAAGTGGGCTGGATTTGGTCTATGAGCTAAAGTTTGTTGACTTCTCACTTTCTGAGTTCTTCCTATGATTCAGACACTGAAGTACCATAAATGAACTACATGCATTACCTCATTCAATTCTCCCAAGAACCAAGTGGAGGTGCCATTATTATCCCCACTTAATAGGTGAGTAAACTGAGGCACAAGAGGTGACACAACCTGGAGATGATGAGGCCAACATCATAACTGTTTTGCCTCATTCTGTCCATGTGTGGGGAATTAAAAGGTGAAATATTGAGACAAAAATAGATATGTAATTTGTGGGGTTAATCAATTTAAAAGAATGTTTATAATGCTTCTTTATTTCCTTAAAACATATTTTGTCTTCTTTCATACTCCTATCAGTTTTGGTGTTATCTTTTGCTATTAATAATTTATCTCTTAATTAATGTTTATATTTCTGTCTCAAGCTTCACACAAGAAAATGAAACACCTTCTGTTTGCCTATTTAAGATTAACTCTGCATTTTAGCATCTGAGCTGCAGCAGATACAGGATTCCTTAGAAAAGCAGCTGCACTAGACACCCAAGAGAAGTTTCTTTTCAGAAAACTGAGAACCTCAAAGCCAGCTGATGCTCAGGATTTCACTTGCACCTGTAAACCTGATGGCAGGAAGACTCGTGAGATTGCTCCATGCAGGTCCCAGAAGGTCTCGAGACTTTCATTCTCTAGAGCAGTGATGGTGAACCTTTTAGAAAACAACTGGCCAAACTGAAACCCAAAACCCACTGGTTTATTGCAAAGATCCAACACTGCAATTAAACCAGAATACTGAGGTTTTAGTTTAGCAAAAACAACTCATATATTAACATCTTTTGTCTTAAAAGAAAAACAACTCGCATGCCATACATTCACCACCACTGTTCAAGAGGCATATTCATGAGGGACCTGCACTTTGCTGAGCTACTAACTTTGGTTCAAGAAAGAAAGGAAGGAAAGAAGGGAGGGAAGGAATGATAAACAACCAAAGTAACAAACAGATTTTAAATATTTTTCTCCTAAGGAGAATCATAACAAAGCCATTCTTATTTTCATTCCATATCATGGGTAACATTTATGGAACGTGTTTGGATTTTCAACATCTGTGTAGTTCCAGTAACTAAATAAAAATGAAAACACACACCCTGTCCGTGGCAAGTAAACAAGAGACACCAGCAAGATCCAAACATATTTTGCATTGGCAAAATGACCATGTTCCGTTTCTGTCTTGAGAAGCTGTGAATTCACTTTCCCCCTTTTACAAAATTTTCCAAAGACTGCTCTCCTTTCTCTCTCGGCCAAGAACTACTGTCTTGGGCCTGAAACTCATAAGGCCCATTTATTAATAATCTCCGTGGAAAATGTTTCTAAAAAGACACATTACTATAGCATCATGAATGGATAGTCTTGGAAATTTTGACCATCTTTCTAGAAGGTGAAAGACCCTAAATGTCTGATCTTTAATCAAGGCCAGATAGATGAAGCTGTACCTGTCTTTGTCAGGTCTAGACCCAGGGAGTCGCCTCTCCAAGGAGCCCAATACTCTCAGCCTCTATTGCTACAGGCTGTTCTGATGCAGCTACCCAACCTGCATACCACCCAAAGTTAGTAGGGATCAGGTTGCCATGGAAAAAAAGGTGAAGGAGCAATCATGGCCCAGTGAAACAGCATTGATTTCACTTAAGGAAGCACAAAGCCAGTCTTCTGTGTAGTAGACTCTTTCAGCCCCTAAATGATAACAAATTATTAAAATGTGTGCTCTGACTTTGCATTTAATTTTCATTAATTCAATAGGAGTTACAAAGTTTCATCCAGTGTCATTCTCAGTTGATCTCTATTCATAGGAAAGGGTAAAAGAGTCTACAGCAGATTAATGACAGCCGGAACATGCAAGAACACAAGATCTCAGAGTTGAAAATGCCCAACGATCCAACACGCCAAAGATGAGAATGGGATGATTCTGTCACCGAATGTGTCACTTACATTCTCCTCTGCACCTGTGGGGACTGACTCCTCTTTAACTGACTAAAAGGAGACAAAAACAAAAGTGAGAGTCAAGATGTGACCAAAAACCAAGTAAATAACAAACTGACTCAAGAGCCAAGGGTTATCTGGCCAGCAGCCTGGCGGTGCGGTTCTGGAACACCGAATTGGGCATGTAGACCTTGTTCCAAAGAGGACTCCAAGGGGGCGTGCACAACTGTGCACAGCATAGCACGATAATGTCAGCCTGGTATTTTCAAAGCAACAAAGGGAAAATAAACACAGTTGTAGCCAGGAGGCAAATGGAGCGCGGAGTGGGGCTGCTAACAGGAAGCACAAACCGTGAAGTTTTGGCTGTGGTTAAGCAACACCTCTGCTTTGACATTTTCCAGTCGCTGGTGAAAAGAGGGAGATATTCTTAATCGCTCACTGCACAGCTACTGTCAGATGAGATGAATGAGCAGCTCAGGAAAGTTCTGGCCGTAGATCCAGAGAAATCCCTCCTCAGTCCTTGTGGAACACAGAGGCCCTGTCCCCACTAAGTAGGGTCCTCAGTGTCACCCCCAACAAACCAGAGTCTGCTTCTTCTTCTTTTTTTTTTTTATCTTTAATTCTTTTATTTCTTTCTCCCCTAGGCCTAGTCAGTTCTTCTTACCTAAAATACATTACAACCGACTAAGAAATTGTAAAAAGACGCTGATTTTTAAGTATCTTACTAATCTTTATTCACAGTATTCTAAGCAGCCATTAGCATTAAGCACATTTTTCCAAGATGGCACACAGTCATTATAGGTGCAGAGTTTGGCATTTCACAGTAAACTTTTTAGAGATTTAATTATTAAAATATGATAAACTCACACCTTTAACTTTACATCAGTCTTAACACTTCTCAGAGCTGTGGAGTTTGACTCTAAAGACAAGAAGCACACAATCATACCCATCACAATCACCTTCTTAAAGTTATCTAGGTATCATTTTGAACACTTGAGTTAATGCATTGAAAACAACTCCATTACACTATATCTATAAGCAAAACAGAAAACTTTATTTGTAGTAGCTAAGAAAGCAGCTTTTCATGGAGATTGAAAAAAGTAGGAGAAAAATGAGCTAGTAGCTACCCCTTAAGAAATAATTTTAATAGTTTAAAAATCTTTCACAGAATCTTACTTAAAAGGAGGTAACGTTAACTCAACATTTAACAGAGATGAAAATAATTTTTAGTAAGGCTCTGGCCTAAAACTAGGCCTCCGATTGCATACTTTCTACTTATAGATGTACATCCTCAAGGTACATGTATTAGCTCCAAGTCAACCAAATATGAAATAAGGCTAGATTATCCTGTCTGCTTCTTATATAGCCTGAGTCTGGGCCATTTTCTTCATGCCCAAGTTCAAATTGGCTAAAACTCTCTAGGAAGGGCCACAGGGCTAGGGTTCAACGCAGCTGATTTCAACCACTATTTTTTTACTTCCCAGAATCATTGTGGAGCATACAAATAAGAGACAAACGACCCCTTTCCAGAAATGTCAGGGCCATAATCACTGAGTCTGTCAGCTCCAACTGTGGAGGTGATCTTTGTCTTCCCTTCAGTGGTTCTTAAGTCTTCTGGGGAGGGTGTTGGTAGTTACAGACACTTTGAGACTCATTTAAAAGATCTGAATTCTTCTCCTTTTAACAGAATACTTTGCAAATGACTTAGCATGTTCACAGATGTTCCACACTCTTCTCCTGGGTTCCAGGTGAAGAACTCTTCCCTACATGCATTTTGTTACCACGCCCTGCCTTATTTTTTTCTGTAAGACATCCAGTGGGAGGGGAAAAAGAAAAGTGATATTTATAAATATAGATTTTGCACTAGGCACTTTGCATTCATTATCTCCCTTAACGTACCCCAAAAGAGCAAGTACTGTGACCTTCGTGTACACTGTAGGAGACAGAGATACACAGGAGTAAAGTCACAGATGCAGGATAAACAGCTAGAAAGTGCAAAAATGGTAGTAAGAGCCAAGTCTCTATGACTTCAGAGATCAAAATATGTATTTTGGTGATTGTGTGAGTGTCTTCTCCCCTACCAGACACACTGACTCTCACCATAAGATCTTCACTTGGACTGTTTATTTCTGTTTACCTTCTTCATGCTGAGATTTTCCTAGGTACAAAAATGTCCCTGGAAAAGACTGTAGCATTTCCGGAAGCTTCTGATCGCCCCCAAGTGGCAGTGCATCCAGGAATTTTCAAGTAGTCCTGCTTTGTTGGAACTATGTCTCTTCTCTTGGAGACAATCAGATGCTATTAACACTAGACACAGGAAAATAATTAAACAATATTTTATTTTATTTTTCAGGGCTGGTTACTGAACCCAGGACATTCTCAATTAGTCTCTTTTAAAAAAATTTTTTTTAGACAGAGTTGCCTAGTTGCCCAGGTTGGGCTTGAAACTGCAATTCTCCTGACTCAGCTTCAGTGTGCTAGGATTACAGACAGGCATCACCTGGCTTCAAACTATATTTAAAAACCAGACCTCAAGAGTGACTTACAACAGTTTCAGGAGTCAAAATACTGTCTCCACTAGGCTGAGAAAACACTCCCACTGTTTAAAAAGAGATCATCTGGGTTTTCACAGCAGGCGGTGAAACCACTGAGCTAAATCCCCGGCATCATCCGGGTTTTCAAATGCTCCTTCCTGTCCTAGGTAGTGGAGGTGAGATGAGTTTGTGCCTCTGATTTCCTTTCTAGAAAGTTCTTGGCCTGTGAATGCTCACTGTATTCTTTTTTTTGGTACCAGGGATTGAACTCGGGTCCTTGCGCTTGCGCAGCAGGTGGTGAAACCAATGAGCTAAATCCCCAGCTGCTCACTGTATTCTTGAGGATGCTGAAACCCTGGTGCAGGGAACACAATGGACTAGAAGGAGCTGATTCTCAACCCTGATGTTTCCTTGACCTTTATTACCCTTTCAGACTTCCAGATTCTTCTGCTGTTTTGAAAAATGGCATTAAAAAATTGCCTGTTCCAAAAGGAGTTGCTACTTTATATTTTAAAAATCATACTACCCAGAAAAAAAATGCCTTACTTTTTTTCTTGAGACAAGGTCTCGCTATGTACTTCAGGCTGGCCTTGAACTTGCAGCAATCTTCTGGCCTCAGCTGTCCACGTGCTGAGATTACAGGTGCGCACCACCATTCCAAGCAAAAATGCCTTATTTTGGGAATTAGTCTTGTTGAGCATCTCTTAAACATCAGTACTTTTCAGAGCATCTCCAATTCGTGGTGTATCCACATACCACCTGAATTTACTTGACATTTTTCTTTAAATTGACCATATTCTTACTTAAACATATTTTAAAACAAAACCTCTTATTATTACAGTAAATGTAAACCAAGATCTCGCTGGATAAATAGTAGTATGTAACAAGAAATAAAGCAAATAGCAGTATGTATGCAACAAATGAAAACATTCACTAAGTTCTAATAATATTTGTCTTTTTTAAATAGGAGAGACCAGCAGGTGTTAGCACAGTGACAAAAACCTATTAGCATCAAGAAGAAACTTTATTCTTAACGTCAGTGGGAGAATCAGAGCAGAATGGGAAAACATGGCTTTGTACCGTGCAGTCAATTAAATGGGCCTTTTAGAACTGTGTCCAAGAACCACCTCCAGTCATTTTGAACTTTGTGTACATTTACAAACTGGTCTACAGCTGCAGCCTGCATGGGAGCAGTTGATGAAATACACAGCTAATGTAAAGATCCCAAATGGAGAATGGGCAGCCAGCTTCCGGTCCCCATTAGCCTTTGGCACCCAAGAGAGGAAATCTATTCAGAACGGGAGTCTGGAACGCTGTGATGACAGAGCCAGGTTAAAGTTCAGGGTTTCCACTTGTTGGCTATATTCATAGCAATCCTGCTGACCTTGTAATTTGGCCCATGTATTCTCAACTGTTTCTTTGGCTCTGTCTCCTCCAGACTCAAAGCTATGCAGCTCCCAAGATGACAATGCCTGGCGCCTATAGAAGGCCTTTGGATAGACCCTCTGCAGAGTAACTGACTGCTGATCACAACTACGACCCTCCTCAGCTGGAAGTAGCCAGAATGGTCTTTGTCCTTTGCCCTTTGCCCTCTCACAGCAGTTAGGGGTCCTTCTTCAGAGGGGGGAACATTGCAGATAGGAAAGTAAATTAGATATCTTATAGGTAGTTAGACAGGGCCAGCCCACGAGGAGCCAACATGGAGGAGAGTGAAGACACAGTCACTGAAGGCCAGCACTGTAAAAGGAGAGAAACTACCACATCCATGTAGGATGAATAGCAGTGATTGATATTTTAATAGGTATCAATCCCCTGAGGGGGTGGTCCAAGGTCTTAACCCAGCCTTTTCGGAAAATATCCCTCACCCACCCTTACTGAAAATCCTTGTACGCTTGCTCCTCGACTTGCTCCTGCATTTGACCCCCATTTAATTAATATTACCTGGGTGACTGTACTTGTAATCTTATTGGTTGGTCAGGGTTTTGTCCCACCTCATGCCAACCTTGTAAATTTCCACTGGGTCTTATAGTTTTGTCCCACTTTGTACCCGCCTCACCACATGGCTTTGCTGTATTGAACATCTTTGAAAAGTGGGGTGGACGGGTAACCCATTTTCCGGTCCCCCTTCTGTCTCTCTTAGACAGAAGCTATCTTTCGCTCAATAAATTTTTCCTACTCTAAGAAAAATAAGTTCAGGGTTTCCATATGTGACCTGGTTCCACTAGTTGCCCCTCACCCTGAGACTGAATTCACGTACCCAAGGGCTGGCTATTGGGCAGTTTACCAATCAGAGATGGTAAACTGGTAAGGGACAGATTTTAGCAGAGCACGTGTAGGAAAAATCACAGCTCGGGAAGAGCAGGGGTTCACCGATGTCTGGTGGAGGGTTCCAGCCATGCAGGTCGTCTTTGTACCCCTAGGAAGACCTTTACTTACACGGGAGCCAGAGAACCTGGAAGGAGCGTGTATTGGTGAAGGGAAAAACTTGAATGATGTCCATAATTAGGGTTCAGTTGT